GCATGCCCCTTTTGGCCTTCAAGGTTGAATTTGTGAAGACTTATTTTTATTTCTTATATATCTGTTAGATCCATATCCCATCTTTCTTTCAGGATTCAAGGCTATACATAAAACAGTCACTGCTTCAATTTTGCCCCGCATAACCATCTTGTGAAGTAAATGGGGTTGAGAGAAAGTGACTGGCCCAAAGTCAGATAGCGGGCTGAAGATGGGCTAGAACTTGGGTTTTCCCAATGCCAGTCTGACCGTAACCACTATACCACAGTCCTAATAGCCACCATCTTTATCTTATCAACAAGTCTACAAACTGGTGCATCCCATTTATAAGAAAATGACAGAGCTAATAAAATATGATCCTCCAGATTTGAAATCTGGAACTCCCTACACTATAGTTATTGCAATGTTAATGTGCGCTAATGGTACTTTTTGGAGACATTTTTATATTAGATGAACAGGCTTACTTACAACATAGCAGGATATATTATAAAATATTGTACTTAGTCATTTCTACAAGCTCACTTGGTCTTTCTAGAAATCAAAGATACGTTTCTTTTGTTCCAGCCTGATATAGCTCATGTTAAAGAAAAAAATATACTAGCTGTAAGACGATTAAAAAGGTCTGGTAGCATTCTTCTTCTTAATTGTTTGAACTCCATAATTTATAAATTATTGTGGCTCTAGACCTTTCCAGGCTTCACTGATCCCCTTAGCAAAATGTGCATCTGTTTCCTGTTCAGGCTGTCAGCTTCCTGTTGTGGATTTTCACCGCTTGTGTGGTTGCCTGGGCTGATCATGCCTTGCCAATGCTACTTGGCCTTAGTGCAGACTGGTCTGCCTGGCAGTGTGAAACAATAGACAGAGTCTTCGCCCGTGGCTTAGGCAAGCGTCCAGTGGATATTTTGGCAGTCAAAGAGATACTCACCCTTCTTCCAGGTAGCTTGGAAATTCTGTTGACCAAAGAGCCTTGGAAAGAGCAAACACCAAAGGTATGTGTTTTAAGTTGTACATGTCCACTGGACTCATGATGGGCTTGAACCTTTTTTTTTTCATTGATTGAACTCAGTATTGTCATTCAGAAGACAATCTGGGTGGAATTTTTATCCTGCAAGTCACCCAAGCCATTTACAGTATTCATTACATAATAATTACAAAGAGGAACAAGGGCAAATGGAAAGTTCCACCAGCTGAAATGGGATAGTTAAAATATTTCTATAGGTAACAAAAATAAACAAGAGAATTTTAGAGTAAAAGAGTTTTTTTTTTTTTAATGGAGCAAAATAGTCATCCGTGTTTTGCACAGAAATCATGAAAACTAGTCTGCCACTATCATGTCTTGGCACTAGTTCACTCAGCAGTCTGATCTCACAATGTGAAAGAATCCTTTGCAGGTTTTGCAGCAGCTGGACTCGCATATAGTAGAAATGGGTATCTGTAGATTGCAGCAGTATAAGAATGCAATCATTAAATAAATCCAAAAATATTTTGAGAAATTGCCATACCTGTTGATACACTCTCTTCTTGACCAGAAATCCTTCATGTCTGCATTCTAATATTGGGATCTGACTTCAATTTAAGTTTGTTTATAGTTGTATGTGTTTTATAGAAAGAACTGATGATGAAAGAAAGAATTCCCATCATACCGTCATCTTTCCCAATACATTTTTAAGGTCATTGTAACTTCTTTCCTAGCTATGAACTTGTTCAAACTAATGTACAGACGTTCTTTTATATTGGCAGTTTAAAATGTAGTCCACCCAGCATATCTTCTCTAAGTGGTATGTGGGTAATTGCAATATCTTCCCAAAATCATTCCAGTGAAAAGCACTCCGTATGAGAAGAGCTTGGCATGACTGAAATTAGGTCTGGGCATAAAACACACTGAAGCACAGAGAGGGAAAGATAAAATTTGTTGACAGGTCTTTAAATGAAATTCATACTTTCCAGGATTGCATGAGCTATGGGATGGCTTTGGAGAGTAGCCATAGATTCCTGGGAAGAGATACTGCTGCTCTAAGGAAGTGCAGAGAGATGCAATTTAGCATGCCTTTCATTCTGAAATGCTGCCAAACACCAACAAATTTATAACATTAAGAAATTAATATTAATTACAAACTAGGATTTTAAGGTATGACTTTGCAGGAACTTTACAAACAATGATGAAAGAATAGCAACAATGCTATTCTTTCTCACTTGCACAGTAACATGCAACTCTCGCTCTTATCTCTAATAATTACACAGATCAGCATGCAATATCAATCACAGTTGGCCAGTAGAATTGAGAATCTGAATATTATGTGACAGATTATATGTCCATTTAATATGTCTCTGTTTTATCATTTCTAAGAAGTTGTGTTTTATTTTTTGCTTTTCAAAGAAATGGTTAAATATCCATACATTTGATTGTTCTCATCGAGAGTATGTTGAATTGTCATTAAAATGCATTTCATATAAAACAGTTTGGATCAGTGGTGCCATTCAACCGGTGTAACAACCAATTCGATGAGCGCGCGCTTTGTGCGCGCGCTCCACATTTTGAAAAGCCCACTTTCAGCTCCAATACCTACCTTCAACTGCAGCCCCTGTGAATAAAACAGCTGAGGCATGGAATCAGCTGTGTTCTAAAAAACGAAATAAAGCACAGGAAAGAGAGGGGCGGGTGGGCGGTCCCACATGCTCATGGGAGCAAACCGGTTCAGAGCCACTGAACTAGGGGTTCGCCCGAACCAGGAGAATCCCATCCCTGAATAGATGACTCTTGAGATGGCAATAGTTGTATCCCAACATGTCTGGACAAAGTTGAAAAGGCTTGATTTGAGTTATTTTAATTTAAAAAAAGAACAATTTTAACATTTGAGTTTTAAATTTATTCACAGTTTATTGACTGGCTTTTTAGCCTAATGGAGAATGCTGATGAAATGCTCACTCAGTCTTCCAGAGAACTTTTGAAAGGTATGATAGAAACTGAGTTACTTACAGACTTCCAACTTAGAAAAATAATAACACTTTGTTTTTTTTTTAAAAAGGTGATTTATATCAATTTAAAAGCAAAACATGTTTACAAAAGATAGTTATTTAAACTTATTTTGCACATCACATTATAAAGTTTTGGGCAAAGTTGAGGGTAGACTCTTTCAGCTTCAGGTCTCAGACCTCTATATTGGCTAGAGATGGGACAATTTGGTTAGCATCAACTAAGAAAGGCTACTTCAGGGACTTTGAAATGTTTTTCATATACATTTCTTGGAGGATGAGCCTCTTACTGGCTTCTTGTAATTACCGTTAGATGTGAAAAACACAAGTGTTTTTTCTGTTCAGTTACTGTTTGTGGATTTTCTATAAGCACTTGCTGCTATGAGAAAAAGAAGGCTGAGCTTGGTGTTTCTTTGATTTGATCCAAGGGAGTTTTTCCTATGATATTAATTGACTTTCAAATTCTTTCAGACAGGCAACAGTAGAAGATTTCTTTCTGTTTCCATTGCTGATATTGTGTGTGTTCTTTTAACAGCTGCTTTATTGGCCCTGAGATCTCTTCCAGAGTTTAAGAAGAAAGCAGTATGGACAAAAGCTTATGGCTGGTAGGGATCTTGAAGAAACGGAGAGAAACTGTAGCTGCCGATTGTACATGTCAAGCTAAAAACCTTTGGAATAAGAGCTTTGGTTACAGATATATTTTTATCTTTCCTGGGGAAAGATCCTTAAAAATCCTCCCTATTTGAATATGTACCATTTGTTCTATGATGAGAGAGAGAGAGAGAAAAAAGAAAGAAAGAAAGAAAGAAAGAAAGAAAGAAAGAAAGAAAGAAA